ATAATAAACGTTACACTGATCATGCCGAAATCAATAACTTATCGAATCGGCCAAATAATCATTCGGTCAATTTTTTTACCAGATGTTTCAAAATTTATGAGAACAGCTGCAATATTATAAAATTTCCGGCCGTTTTAAAACTACGCCGGAAGTCAACTTAACTAAACGGACCTCCGGTATTTTACAATACTAGAATTTTGTGCCCTGTTTTTTGAACCCGGACCAATTTTATATATGACGTAATAACATTTTAGTCTGGATTCAAAAATCACTTGACATACGTACGTAACTATTGTGACAAAATTTAAATTTGTATCCATGGTTATGGTTAGTATATGGTTAGGGTATTAACCCCCTGACCGCAAATACATCACGAGTCATGTGGTAATGCATATCTATGTATCATTTGTAAAAATCGAACAATACACCACCACCTTTTACTTGTATACTCGAATTCTGGAAACATGCCAAAGCACGAATTCTTAACACCGAAAGCAATCGCAAATCGCATAAAAGTATGACAAGGACAAAAATTTTACTTTGATTATTATTTTGATAAATATGTGCTGTAATTAACTCTTTCCATTTAATTGAAGGCGAAAGGTCTCCAAAAATTAAAATGGTACTGTCAAATGTGCCAAAAGCAATGTCGTGACGAAAATGGATATCAGGTTTGTTTTTCTTATCATAAACAGCTTGTTTTTTTTGGTTTTTTTTTTGACGAATTTAAATAATATTTTAACCGTAATTGTTTGTTTGCTTGCTTATAGTGCCATATTCGTTCTGAATCTCATCTTCGTCAAATGGATCTCTTGAAAGAGAGTCCTTCGATGTACATGCAAGGTTATTCTAAACAATTCCATGATGACTTCATTAAATTGCTCTCTAGAAGGTAACTTTTACTAAGCCATCATTTTATTTTATTTAAGCATTTAATCTTACCATCATTTTTTATTTTCTAATTAAGATGGGGAACCAAAAGAGTTCATGCAAATCTTGTATATCAAGAATATATTGCTGATAGGCATCATATACACATGAACGGTACAATTTGGGATACTTTAACTGATTTTGTAAAACATTTGGGGAGAGAAGGTACTTGTGTCGTTGATGAGACACCGAAAGGGTGGTTTATTAGTTGGGTTGACAACAGTCCTAAGGCTTTGGCTAGACAGGTGATTTAATTAGTGCTTACTAATTATTGTGTAATCTTGTTTATATTGTTTTTAAATAAATAATAATATATCCTTTTGCATTTGATTATTTAGGAGGCAATTCTGAAAAAAGAACGAGCAGAAAAGGATGAGGAAGAAAGATCTCGCAGATTAATAGAGGAGCAAATAGAGAGAGCTCAGAAGGAAGCTGATAATCCAGGACTAGATGATGTAATTATATATTTTTCATTTGTACTAAATTATAATGTTTATTTATTTTAAGTGTATGTATTCATTTTTTTCCCCTTTCTAGGAAAAGTTTACGGAGCTCAAACGAAGCAATGAAGAAGATAAGATAAAACTCAACATTTCATTAGTAAAATCAGAATCTTCCGTTTCGTCTTCTACCGTTAAACCCGATTCATCTACCACAACTACACCTTCTACTAATGGTTCCACTCACACTAGCATCTCATTTAATAAACCTACTTCCCAAAAAATGTCACTTAGTGCGTTAGCTAAAAAATCCGGTTCTTTGAATGTACAGAAAAAAGAAAAAGAGAAAGAAAAGGAACAGCCAAAGAAATTAACGGCTATGGAACAGATTATTATAGATGAGATGGCGAGAAAGAAAAGAATGGAAGCTATGAATGAAAATGGAAACAAGAGGAAGGATGATCAGAGAGATCAGAGAGATAAAGAAAAATATAAGGAAGATCAGAGAGAAAGAGAAAAATATAAGGAAGATCAGAAAGAAAGAGAAAAATACAAGGAAGATCAGAGAGAAAGAGAAAAATATAAGGAAGATCAGAAAGAAAGAGAAAAATATAAGGAAGATCAGAGAGAAAGAGAAAAATATAAGGAAGATCAGAGAGACAGAGAAAAATATAAGGAAGATCAGAGAGATAGAGAAAAATATAAGGAAAGAAGAAGGGAGAGGAGTAGATCATATGATCGAGAGTCAAAAAGAGTACGCAGATATTAATATATTAGGTAAAGCTGATTTAATTGTGGCACTTTTTTATTACACCAATATCAAAATTAACTAAAAATAAAAAGAAAATATATTTAAAAAAAAATCAAATAAAATATTTACAGTAAAACTATTAAATTAAAAAAAAATTAAATATAAAAAAAATTAACCCTGGTAAGTTTTTATAAAATCTGTTTCTAATTATTGCGCTTTTCAAATTTTGTGTATTTATCAAATTTCACGCATCACACACCACGTATAATCTGGAAATCGGAAATTTGAAGATTAGTATAGTACGACTGGCTGATCAGTATGGTATAGGGATACCGACCGTGGATATCAGTATTGTACAGCCGAGTTTTAAAATCGTACCATACTGAACTGGTGATATATATTAGCGTTAAGGTTAGGAATTATAGCTGATCAGTATGGTATGGTTCTTAATTTCGGCCTGTACCATACTGATCCGGTTACTCGTACCATATTGAACTTCTGTAATCTCGGCCTGATTTTCTGTAATCCTGAAATTTAGAAAATGCGGCCAAAAATGACCACTTTATTTTATACCCAGCTATTATTATCCCTTAAAGATCTGTAACATTCAAAATTTAATTTGTAAGAAAATAAATTTAGTGAATGATATTACTGTATAAGCAAAATATTAGAGGCTGGAAGAATCACAGTTATTTTATTTAAAATCAAAGAAAATAAACCATTATAATAAATAATATAGCACGATTTATGAAATCTTATGAAGGCAGTACAATATTGAAATTCAAAGTAATTTATAGGTTTTAGTTGAAGTATTAATTTTTTCTGCGTATAATATTCCAAATAGGATATTGCTAACTTGCCCCCCTGGTTTACATCACCCCCCTATTATAACTCAAAAACGGTTTAAATAACTATGTTTAGTGCGCTAAGTAAAAATGTTCAGCACTATAAAAAACCTTATTCTAGCCTATTTCTAACACTAGCCCTAAACTTTAACTCTTTTTTTAATATTAATTTCAAATTTGAATAAAAATTGGATATTCTATAGAATAGGTGGGCAATATTAGTAATCATTAATTTTTTAATAGCGGAATTGCGGAGTTTGCCCACCTACTCTATAGAACATCCCTTGTGTATTTTATACTATCTCTCATTTCATATTCATTTTAATCCGTCACATTTAATGTGTTTATTATATATTTTACTTTCATAAGAAAAGAACCTTTTTTATAAATTTCTATAGAAAAAACTTTCGTTTCTGCCTTGTCGAAATCTATTTTAAATTCAGATGCGTAACTGATTTTTGAGACGATATCAGGAAGATTTCAAATTTCTAATAGTGGATATTTTTTCAAACTTGAAGATTTCTCAATATCAGCATGGTTAATTTCGATGTTTAGGATTATTTTTAGAAATTCAAAATTTTTATAATTAAATCTAGATACCTAATTATGTTTTCATAGAAGCTGTTTTGCAAATTATTATTTCTTTGTGATTAGTATTTAAAAAAAAAAAATAAAATAAAAAAATAAAAACTGAAATTTCAAATATTATTTGGCCAAATCCACGGCAGTGTTGGAAAATGAAAATCAAAAAAGTGCTAAAATTTGAAAATTTTTGCTAATTTTCAAACACTGATTTGAAAAGCGCAATAATTAAGGTTAATGAAATTAAAATAGTTTGACTCCAATAAAATTAGTATTTCAATTAAGATTGATTTATATGTTTTTTATTAGTTTTAGTGTGTTTTTTTGTTTTTTTTTTTTTTTGTATGTGTATTTTCAAATTACTGTGTCTACTGATTTTTCATACTAAAAATCAGTGGACTCAGTAATTTGAAAAGTGTCTTGTTTGTGCAGGGTATCTCATATCGGCCTAATTACAAACATAGTGCAGGTACTATACGCTAAGAGTTTTTTATACATATATAGTAAAATTGTAATTAGTAACAAAAAAATTTTTTTACGTAGTAAAGGACAATTAGCTGTGAAGACCCTGTAAAAATTTTATTTTTTGTTGAAAGATCATTTTAGCTTTTATTATTATATTTCCGTATTTATATTTACAATAGCATATGCCAAAAAACAACTTAAAAAAAAGTTGACGTTAGAAGACAAATTATCGGAATGCAAGCACAACTCCAGGGAGGGTTGTTAAATTACTATAATTTTTCATAATTTATGTTTCTGTAAATTAATTTTTCATGTAATTTTAATTTGAGCACATGATATATGGCTTCTATGTGATCAAATTTTTGGCAATACAATAATGCTGGCTAAACTTTTGTAAAGCCAGTGCTCTATATAAAACATGGTAAAATTTGCATAAAATTTGGTTTACTGAAATTTATATAAAATACATGTGTTGTAAGATTGTAACTTACGTAACACATCCTAACTCCAGGTCGCAAAACAGGGCCTAGAAAAATCCAAAGAATTGAGAAAAAGGTGATGAAATAATAGTTAAGAGGTAGTTCGCCATTAAAGGGTATAAGAATCATATAAGCATCATAGTAAAAATCGGCAGGCATTACTTACAAATTTTAAATCCCAAAAGTTTTTCACTAGGGGTACTATGAAAACTATTTTTGATGGTAAAATCGCTAACATTGACCCAGTATACCACGAGTTCAGCAGAGACAGTGCCTCCTATGTAGATCTTCGTTTAACGTTACACAATTTATAAAATTTTTTTTTTATATAATT